GTGCCCAGAACATCCGCAAAGCGAAAGGGGGCCCAACGGCTCCAATCTTGTAGAGGCCCCGAGGTCAGCAACGGCAAGCAGCGACGGGCTTCCGAAAAGATTGAGGGGACTCCAAGAACGACAAGGAACAAAGCGGGGATATCCGACGGCACGATGGGACACTACGGAGGCACGGGCACGACGGCTTGCGAATGTGACGATACAGCTTCGGTCGTGCCACATTGACCAAACGTAACAGCCACCACAGAGCCCAGAAGCCCTGTCCTGTTACCACTCCAACTGGTCCAACTGGCCTCCCTGTCTCCCACTCCAGACAGCGCGCAGGCGCGGATGCTCAGGGCGCTGTAGTCTGCAACCACCCTGGATGGAGTCAACCACATTCGCACGCACACAGACACACACACACATGATGGGGCTCGCCGAGATAATCACAAGGAGAGCGCAGGACGACCACGGTCAGGCCGAGGAACCACAGCCAGCCCAGGCCCAGGAAGCAGGTGCGGCAGCGGCGACCAGGGAGGCACTCAATGCCACAGAGCAGATATTATACGATCAGGGACAGCACGCACGCTATAAACGGCGCCGCCTGCAGGAGCAGAAACTAAATTTACTTTTCGCCCGAATCAGAAGGACCTCGGCTACAGAGGGCGCCCAGCTACTCGAACTGCAGATCGAGACGATGGAAACCAAAAAACTACAAGCTTGCAGTGCTATACTGGGAGCGCCCAGCCTGGGCGGAGACGAGATCGCGGGCAGGCCAGAAGGGGGAAAGATGAGGAGCGAGCAGCAGCAGCCCGCGCGGCCCCTCGCCGGCCGCGCCCGCCCACCATGAACGGCAAGTTCGAGGCGCCAGCGGCGCCAGCCAGAGAGAGCGCCGCCCCGCCCGACGCCCACGCCCGCAGCCCGCTCTGAACGACAAGTTCGCGGCGCCTGCCAGAGAGAACGCCGCTTCGCCACCTTCCCCATCCAACGCCTCCCGTCGCCGAGAACAGAGGCGTCCCATCGACGCGGTGTGGACCCAGCACGGATGGGACGGCGTTGCATGGAAGGGCACGGCGGCGCACCGGCGCAACATCTTCCAGGAAAGCCGGCAAGCAGAGTGATCAGGTAATTGCCTGACTTCATCCTTCCAGCGCGTGGGTCTCGAGAGCGGATGCGCGCCCGCCCGTGGGCCCGCTGCCCTCCACCTCTTTCTTGCATGCGATACGTTCTTAGGAGCTCGGAGTGCCCCTCCGCCGACGCCTCGACGGCCGGGCCAGGA